AGAAGGCGAACTCCGGGCCCAAGGGCCCGCAGAACCCGGTCTGCCGCAGGTTGACGCCGCCCCCCGCGCTCAGCCTCAAGCTGAAACTTGGTGTGACTTGGAAAAACTCGGCCCTGCGTGAGTCCTGGGCTGCAGGAAAATTGCCTGATTACTTAGAACCACGAAAAGAAAGCATGACATGAACATTGGTTTGGAGGCATCCTAAATGATGGCTGGGGAGAAAGCAAAGGACTCCCAAAGGAAGCCAGATCTTTTGCAGCTGTTCAAAGCGCACTGGTACTTGGCTGCGCTTCATTAGTTGTTTTTGAAGGGTACTCCTTTTTGGTTTGGTTTCCAGAGAAGCCACAAGGCACGCCACCATTTCGGGGGCCCCCCGACTTCCTCGCCTGGGGAAGTCTGCGCCCTCGCAGCTCATCACCGGCTTGGCGGTGCGCAGCTCGACGAAGATCGCGCGCTTCGGCAGCAGGCCCTCCTGTGGAAGGTGTCGGTTTTGACGGCTTTGCCGTGATGCGGATGCGTTCAAAGGGTTGGGCTACAGGTGAAATTATACAGGAAAACGCGGATGGTGTGGCGGTGGTTTGACTTATCCAGCCAGGTGGGAGGAGGCCCCTTCCTGCTTTGGGCCTTTTCGGGGCATCCCCCCTTGGAACCTGTATGGACATCGAGATCGCACATCGGCCGCGACCCATTTCAGCTTTTAGACTGCCATTGTATGGGGGTTGGACCGGCAACTGGCCGCGTAGATGATGTCTGCACAAGGGTCCTTATCCAAGTGGGCACGTCGGTCTTTGGAGGTATCTTTGGTAGAATCGCGAGGTGGCATGCATCCATTTTCTGGCACCCTCTTTGTGGAAGCTATCCTCTGAAATGGTGGAATCAAAAGGAAACTATTGAACCACTCATGGACAGTCTACAGGAAATGGCCCCAAGTCCAGGTAAAAGAACAAGCCTGAACTTGAGCTTGTTTGTTCGCTTTCAACATGGTCCCAAATTAGTATGCTGTCTAGGCACGAAACTGCAAAAGTCGCACCCTGCCACAGAGCAAATAGATTTTTTGTGGGGTGGGATGGCCTGAAAATATCTGGGTGAATCTTGTGTTTTGAGGGTACCCATTTTTTGTGGTTGTTCAAAGGGGAACCAGACGGAAAACTCCGAAGAAAGGGCACACCCACATAGTAACAGACGTGTTTTCGACCCCTGCAACCGGAATGGTCTCAAAACAACTTCCGGAATGGCAGAAGTAGCCCCGGGCTTTCCGGTTGCATTCTGAAACAAGCCGGGAGAGCAACATCAAGCCCTGTGAGGACATCCCAAGAGGTACGCAAAAAGCATCGCCCCAAACTTGAAATCACGAAATCATGGCCCCCCTGAAAAAAAAAACTCCTCCTGCCCACGGAACCTGACTGAGGGGTCCTGGAAGACCATTGTCCGCTAAAAGCGTCCCTCTGCTCAGTTCCAGGTTTGTGGACAGGAAGGTCAACGATTTTGCTTTGAGCCAACCAGGGTCCCTTCGAACACCCCAAGTCGCGCACACGCGCGAGCGCTCGCCAGGACACGCTCCTCCCGCAACTTCTCCAGGACGATCCAGTCCTGGCCCAGCAGCCCGCCTCGGCCGAATTCAGCTGTGGGGGGGAGGGGGGGAACCCCCAGAAATGGGTTCCTTGTGGGTGGGTGTGCAGTGGGGTCAGGTTAGGTTGGGTTGGGGCGGGGTTGGGGTGGGGTGGGCTTGGGGTGGGGTTGGCTGGGGTGGGTGAGGACAAACCCAAACTACTGTCCGAGACCCCAAGTCGTGAAACCTGTTGCGGCCTTTGGGCTCGCACGAGATGCAAACTCTTGGAAAAGGAGAGTTGAAAGTTGTTGGCCCCCCTGCAATGTTGACCCCAGATTAATGGACTCCTGGTTGATTGATAGGGTGTCCCCTTTTAGTGGGAGGTCATCACTTTGAGAGGGGAACAACCCCCAACCCCTATTCATAGAACGGGTTCTACTTAGATCCGGGGTGGACATTAGTGTTTCCAAGGCTCCCTGAAAGCCTTTTGGAGGAATGAGATGATTTGATTGCTTCAAGGGCCAGCTCAACCCTTGAGCGTTCTCAGTAGCGGGCTTCATGTCGTTGGCGTGCCCGAAACCAAACCTGGGCAGAATTAAAGGTTGTCCATGCAACTCAAAAGTAGCTGTGGCAAACACTGTGGACAATCTGCTCAAAATTGGTCCCAGATCGCGCCTAACAGACACATACCTGAAAATCGAGTTCATCTCAAAATGGCCACGAACGTGCTTAAGTCAAGAGGGGAGACATGGGTTCGTTTGAGGGCCACCCCCACCCCCCCCGCCCCCCCCCCACACAAAAGCGCCGAGCGAGCCGCAGCCCACCGAGGCATAGGTGTGCAGAGCCCCGGCCCGGAAGTGGCTCTTGCACTTCTCCAGGATGAAGCGCTCCACCGCCTGCGGTGGAATCGCCTTCTGTTTCACACACACACAGCCATGGGTCAAAATCCAGATCGTGCCCCCAGTGAACCAGGTACCATTGGTTTTGACCCAAAGCCACACAAACTCGCAGTGGCAATGCGATATGTTTGCTTTGGGCGAAGTTTTGACCCCCAAACCACCCCAAACCACCCCGAACCACCCCAAACCACCCCAAACCACCCCAAACCACCCCAAACCACCCCAAACCACCCCAAACCACCCCAAACCACCCCCAACCACCACCAACCACCCCAAACCACAAAAAAAAAAAAACACCAACCACCCCAAACCACCAAAAAAACAAACAAACCACCAACCACCACCCACCGAATTCAAATTCGACGGCCTCTCTGACCTCCGGCCGCTTGGGCCGGAAGGTGGGGCAGGAGGGGTCCCCGCACTCCCCCAAGGAGCACACCGGGTTGGCGAACCCGCTGGGCAGCTCCTGGAAACATCCGAGGCAACGCGCCAGCCCCTCGAATCGCACGCAAAGCGAAGGGCACGGGAGATCTGATTTTTTTTGGGGGGGGGGTGACCCTTCTTGGGTTGGCTTGAAAGGAAAACCGCCAGCTTTGAGCATCACACAAATATGTATATATATATATACATATATATATATATATTGTATGTATGTATGTATGTATGTATGTATGTATGTATGTATGTATGTATGTATGTATGTATGTATGTATGTATGTATGTATGTATGTATGTATGTACCTGTATGCTTTGTATCGTCTACACACACACCGCCCTCCATATAGAGTCGTGCCAGAGCCTTCAAAGAGTAATCGAATGCTCGAATTCATTGTCTACCTGGGCATTAACAACCTTCCCATGGGTGCTGAGACCTTGCCTGGCAAGAGGTATGGCAGGTAGTTGGGAACTACGAGGGCGGCCTGAACATGTCCCACCCAAACAGGGGTGACCGTCTTGGTCGTTGTGATCGCCTGCTCCACCCACCCACCCACCCCGCCCGCCCGCCCACCCACCCACCCACCCACCCACCCACCCCACCCGTGCAGCGTGGCTCACAGTTGACCAGCGAACCACACCACGTATCACAGGCACAGACATGCAAAGCTACTTCAAGGATACCTAATTGCAACTCAGGAACAAGAGAAACTCAAACGCCAAAGAATGTCTGGGGGATCAGCCGCATCCTGTCACGTGCTCCTGAGGGAAGTTCATCTGCCACATGGAGAAGGTGTTCCTCTGCGGCTGGCGCGGGATCGCCGCCCGAACCTCCTGCAGACGCACAGGCTCGATGCCCCGTGGAAATATCGGCCTTGAAGCCCGTGGAAAAATCAAACTCTGAGTGTTTTTGTTTTGTTTTTTTAACCAAGTGGGCCAACGAGACAGGGAAGGTTTGTTTTGGACTGCTGTATTCAAAGTCTTCGCCCCGACGACGTTCCCTGGCTAGCAGCCTGGGCTCCTACTCCGCCCAGCCGCCCATGGACCCACCCCTGGCCCCAACCCCCAACCCCAACCCCCAACCCACCCTCCCCCCCACAAAAAAAAGAAGCAAAAGAAAAAGAAAAAGAAAAGAAGAAGAAAAAAAACAAAAAACGGAAAACGACAACTCCTTGCCTTCCGCAGCTTCCCACACACCGCAGGCACTTCCGGTTGGGGCCACCATCGCCTGCAGCCCCTCGGCAGCTCCCGGAAGCCAGCGCTGTCAATGCCGTCGTCAGATCTGTCGCGGGCGGGTCGTCCGGCAGACCTGCCGCTGGGCTTGCTCCGAGATACGAAAAAGAGATTGGCTGTGGGTCAAAAATGGGTATCCATGTTGGAACCCTGGTAAATGGAACCAAGGACTAAGACAAGCGGTCCCCTGGTGCTTTAATTTTGACCATACCCATATGTCCAAACCACAAAGGTACAAACCCGAAAACTGACTAGTAGCCAGCCCGTCGACCAATGCTCAGCTGAAGCAGGGTGCTAGGTTTGATCACCGACGTAGGCGTTCTGTTCTTCTCCCACTCAAGGCAAAAAAATGCAACTCGTGGCCGGCGGATGGGCCTGGAAACACCTTCCAGGGCAAGGAAACTAGATTTCACCCATCCCGAAGCTTGTTTTCAAAACAAAAAATCAAACGAGTGTTGTTCCAACCACCCTCCCCTGTTCATGCGCCGACTCCATGCAGCCTGGCGCGGGGCGCCATGGCTGCGGAACGTCCGATGGTGTCGGGCCGAAAGCTGGCCGATGCTCAAGGCTTCCAATTTTGGCGAGTGAAGTGATTGCCAAGCTCGAGCTTGCGGAAAACAGAAACAAGGCAGGACCACTGCAACTGCATGTGCACAGCAAAAAAGGGCTTGTATGGACGAAGGAGCCGCGGCTTGCGAGGAGCTTGTGCAAACTACAGGGGCTCACAGCCCCAACATTCTCAGGGGCATGGTGTTGCAACCGGATGCGAAGTGAACCGCATAGCCTCCTTAAAGCCGGCGTTGCCTTGCCTCACAAGCACGTCAAAGCTGGTTTGGGCAACTTTGCAGCCCTTTGATTGCAACGGGCGGAGGTCAAAACTGCCAGCTTGCTTGAGCAGCAGGTGGCGGCAGATTAGAAGCCATGCCCTGCCCAGCCGGAAAAACAAAAGCGGCCTCAGTCTTAGCAGCCGTTTGCAAACAGCCAACCAGCCACAAGCCAAGCTGCAAAGAAACAAGCGGGCAACCAAGCATCAAACAAACCAGAAAAGGCAAACGAATCAAACAAACAAACAAACAAACAAACAAACAAGCAAGCAAGCAAGCAAACAAAACACACACCTCCTTCTTCATGTATGCTTGCACGAGGAAAAAGGGTTTGTGCCAAAGGTGGACGAACAAAGAATTGTACTGGGCGTTCAACTTGGCAAGCAACTAACCCTCAGAAGGATACCTTCAAATAGAATCTGAGTTCTACCAGCATGCCTGCAGAAGTGTATTCAGGGAAGCCCAGAACAGGAGGAAATGAATGTTTAAACCAACCTTGAACCAAAATTTGTTTAAACCAGCCAAACTTTAAAGCAACCAGTTGAGCCAACCACGCAAAACGAAGGGAAAAACCCGAGCGGCGAAGAAAATTAACCTCGCCACACCCCTTTCAGACTGGGCGCTCCTGTTGAAAGGGGCTCCCCCGACACAGTCAATCTTGAAATAGTGACCCCGGTTGGCCGGAAAAGAAGGAAAAAAGAAGAAAAACAACGACAACTCCAAAAAAAACAGATAACTCAGACAACCCTTGTAAGGTTCCTCTCTTGACCCAGTTGAAAGGCAAAGGTGTAGGCCACAAACGCTGGAGACGCCTGCGCCACCTGGTAGCTGGACTCCAGCTCCGTGGCGGTGGCGTTGACGCAGGCCTCCTTGGCTTCGTTGTGGGGAGAGGCTGGGGAGGGACCTGGGGGGAGGGTGGGGGTGGTGGGGAGGGTCAGAGAAGCGGGGAGGGTGAAGGTGGTGGGGAGGGTCAGAGAAGCGGGGAGGGTGGGGAGGGTCTAGGGAGTCCCTGGGTGGATGGGGTGGTGCATGCGGGGAGTTCAGACCTGTTGAAGAGCCACGATAGAAAGAAGATGAACAAAAAGGGTATCCCAAAAATGGGCCCAGGGGCAACTGGAGCACAGACGTCCCTCAACGGGACATTCAAAAGACAATGACCGCTGTTGCGTTGCTGGCAAATATCAAACAGATCGCTAGCAACTGGTGCCTTACCCTGCGGTGGTTTGCTGAAGCTTCCAAGCATGTGAAGCGTCCTCATCTCTTTCACAACTCCTTTATTGTGAGTTACTGCTTGAAATGGATAATCTAAAACCCTTTCATATGCCTCCACAATCCCTTCTGCCACCTATCAAATCCGTCGTAATTTTGGCCAACTGCCAAGGCTACCCCTGTCAGTTTGGCCAAGGCTCCAGCAAGACTGGAAAATCCTGGGCATTTGGAAACGGATTTAACACATTGCCGCCGAAGCCAGTGGAAACACAAATAATCTCGTGTTAGGCGATGTCTGGGCGGTGCTGCAGTGAAAGCCAAGCCGGAAGTCCCGATTTTGGGCCATAACGTGATGGTTTAAGGGATTGCGTCCACAAATTGGAAGGATTGGGGGGGACGGGGGCCTTCCTTAAAATTTGGGAATGAATTCCAAGCCCCCCCCTGCCACATTCCAAGTTTCCTTGGAGAGGCAACAGAATGATGTGTTCTCAAAAGGTCCGACAGCAGGCGGCTCCCAAAAACAGACTTGTACTGTAACCAACAAGAATGCTATCCGAAAATGGCAGATGTCCTTTTTCGCCGCATTTTGAACACCTCACAAAAAGGTGTACCTGGCCCCCCCTCCAGTTTGGTGTGCGCATGCAGACGCACCAAACACCGCAAAAGCGGAGAATCCAAACGAAGCCCCAAACGAAGCCCCGCTTGCGTTTTCTCCAAGGGTCAAAGTTGCTGCAGGCGCAGCGCTTCTCCGCGTAAGACCCACCTGGGCGGGTCTTAAAGAGCGCCCAAAGCTGCCTAGTGGCAAAGTGATGCTCCCCCCATAGGTGTCCTTTTGGAAAAATAGATGGCCCTGGCAAATGGAATAAAACCCAGCTAAACCAGTGCCTTCTATGTTTAACAAAAAAAGACACCTATGGCTCCCCCCCCTTTGCCGTCGCGGCGATCTTCTCCCTTCACGGGGAATCTTGTTGGCTGCTCAGCTAAGCACAGAAAGTGGCACCTTGGAACCCTGGCCTCGCTGACTGATAGATCATCTCTAACGTGTGTTCTTCTTCTGCTTAGAACAAAACAGAAAAATCCACAAGCAAATGATGTGTTCGGGGTGATCCAAGTGGCACCTCAAAAGGAACATGAGCACCGCACGTGCGCACGGGTGGGGCAACGGACCCGAGATGTTCCGAGCCCGGCGCACAGGACTTGCACGGCTTCCTGGCCGCTGGCGCCCGATGGCCCGGCGAGGGCCCCGGACTTGGACAGCTCCACCTGGCGCTGACGCGTCGGCGCCGAGCGGCCGGTCTTGTTTGGCTCTTTCAAGGCAGCAGCTCCCTAGTTGAAGAGAACAACCGGGATCCCGAGGCGGTTTGATCCTGGGCGCGCACGCCGCCAGACAATGTGCAGCAGCAACTGGCAAACCAATCCAGCCGTCGCCGAGGGCCTGGCCCTGACAAGAAAGGAAACTACAGGGGGCCATTGGTTGGGGGAAGGCTTCCCGGTTACTTTGGTACCACTACCCTCCCACCAAATAACATGGAATCCGACAGGGGGGTCCTGTAAGACCATTTTACTGTTAAAGGGACCCCCTGTCAGGTTCCATGTGAAAAGGGTGGGGAGGGTGACCGATCAACCCATGGCTCTTTTGAGGGCCAATGGATCAACACCACGTTTGTCCGGGAGCTAATGGCCAGGCCTCGAGCTCCAGGCACTCTTGCATCTTCAAGGAGAGTTGGTGCATGATGCCCTGGCACTCCGTCTGCTTGCCCGCATGCGCCTCGGGGGTCAGGCTCCGCCGCATCACAAGTTGCAAAGTCAAAAGGCGAATTGCATAGCGGCCAAAATCTGTTCAGCTGACTGCTCAAAGCCTCCAACAAAAATGTTTGAGTGTTTTAGGCCGCCGACTAGAAACCAAGAAAAAACTAGTCGTGTAGAAACTGAAGAGCTCGAAATCGACAAGTTCGGTGAAGTCAAGGAGTCGAAGGGGTGGTTTCCACCAGAACTGCAAACCGAATCCGCTTAGGAAAACCCGAGGGAAAGAACCCCAAGAGAAACGGGATGAATGCACTTCGGCCAAGCCACGACACTGGCACTACTACAATTCTCCCGCCGCTGCCGCCACAGCTGCAGTCGGACCACGTCCTGCTCCAGGTACTCCTCACCATTTCCGAAATCGTCCAACATGGGCTCCCATTGTGAAGTCAAGCCCGCACTGCAAAACGAGTGCAGCCCGGGGAGCGCAGGCTCGCCCAAAAGCCTCAAGGCCAGCCCCTTAATGTGTATATATATATATAATATTTACAAATATATATATATATATATATATTTGTGTGTGTACACATGTACATACACACATATAAACGCAAATGGAGGGCGCCGGGTTTTTTTTTACGGCCGCCTCGCCTTTTTCCTCTTGCGCGAGCGGCTGCCGCGTCCATCTCGACCACCTCAAGGCCGGCCAAATCCGCCTCACTAACGCCCAAACACCTGAGCTTCTGCCAGCCGCGCACCTCGCAGCTGGAACCCCCCCCCCCCACCCCCCAGAAAGCCACTGTTTTCAGCAACCTTCGCCCGGCGTTTGTTCAATTTCACCCGGCCCTAACCAAGCCATGCCGCGCCCACACCCACCGTCCAGCCCAGCCTCAGCTTCGCCCCTCGAAACAGCGCCGAATCTTCAGACTTCTGACTCCTGCAAGCTTGACAAGAAGCCTGCCAACAGGCTAGCTGTTGGTGACAAAAATTCTGCAATGAACGGAACCTGCCATTCTAAGCCCCTCCACGGCAAAAACAAACAAACAAACAAACAAACAAACAAACACACAAACACGCAAACACGCAAACACGCAAACACGCAAACACGCAAACACCCAAACACCCAAACACCCAAACACACAAACAGACAAACAGACAAACACACAAACACACACACAAACACACACAAACACACAAACACCAAAAACACGCAAACACACAAACACACAAACACGCAAACACGCAAACACGCACACACGCACACACGCACACACGCACACACGCACACACGCACACACGCACACACGCACACACGCACACACGCACACACGCACACACGCACACACGAACACACGCACACACGCACACACGCACACACGCACACACGCACACACGCACACACGCACACACGCACACACGCACACACGCACACACGCACACACGCACACACGCACACACGCACACACAACCACGCACTACTACACGCACACACGCACACACGCACACACGCACACACACGCATACACATCGCACACACGCACACACAGCACACGCACACCACCACGACACACGCACACACGCACACACGCAAACACACGCACAACCCCATGCACATCACCACCACACACACACACACACACACACGACACACACCACACGCACACACACACACAAACACACACACACACACAACACAAACACCAAAAACACGCCAACACGCAAACACACAGCAAAACACGCAACACACGCACACACGCACACAAACACAAAGCCACCGCACACCACCAACGCACAAACAACCGCACACCACGCAAACACGCAACTCCACGCACGCACGCACACACCGCACAAAACACGCACACACGCACACACAGCACACACTCACACACCTACAAACGCACACACGCAACCACACAAAACACACACAAACACACAAACCACACAAACACAAAATACCATGCACAAACACAGGCCACACAAACACGGCACACACACACACAAAACAAACGCACACACGCCACAACACGCTAACACCACGCAACAAAACGCACACCACGCACTACACGCACACCACAAATCACGCACGCACCACACACGCATCGCACGCA